GCATATATATAAATGACTTATTGGCGAACAACAGATAAAAACAGAACAACTTATCGTTCGAACATTCGTTACGAATCTCACCCAACACGCGATATAAGCATTTTTAGTTGAGGTTTGATATCAATGGTTAAAAAAAAAAAGAAAAGATATCAATGGTTTACATAAAAATACATAAATTGTTGACGTTTCAACTCTTTCTTTCAACTATTTCTCTTTCCTCTTTACTACGTAACTAATGTGTTTGTCTATGTTTGTTTCCGGGTGCAAGAGTTCAGCCGCAGGGAGTCTATTCTGAGGACGATGTGGTCTACAAATACATCAGAAAGTTGATGGCCCTCCGTTCCTGCCTCAGCGCCAGATCAGGCCTATGTTCCTTCGCCTGCAAGCGGAAGCACAAACAGAGCCCCTTCAGAACCTCGTCGCCTACATCAGACGACAGTGGATTGAAAGCACGGTGTTCCTTCCAAATGACTGGAGCGTCTATCAGCAGGCCATCAGAACTAACAACGACATCGAGAGATGGCACAACGCTCTGGATCGTCGTGTGAGTGGGCAGCGCGGATTATCTCTGTACTCCTTGATTGAGCTCCTGGACAGAGAGGCGAGACTTATAGCCGTCACCATCAGGCTTGTGTCAGATAGAAAATTGAAGCGGGTACAGCGGAAGCAGTACCGAAACCTGCAGGCGAGGGCCCAGGCGAGGCTATTCGAGAGCTGGGAGAAGTAAGAGAGGAAGGAGAAGACCGTCGCACAGCTACTGAAAACCTGCTCACATCTCAACGGCCCGACTCGTGGGAACTGAATAAGTTAACAAAACCCACAACCGAAAAACGGCTCCTTTAGGAGCCACCAAGTTTGCAAAAGAAAACGACCAGCAATAAACTATCAATGAAGAAACCTAATAAAATCTGAGGGGGGATTGGGGCGAATTGAAAGGTTCAATAACAAATATGGCGGTTCATAACACAATCGGGATAGAAGTAACATCAACAATCCCTCTAAGAAAGAGAATTGCAAGTTGTCTATTTGACAATTATTTTTAACCAAAAAATTATTTTGGACGTTGACGAACTGACGTATGGTCGGCCACTGTTGCGATCCTACTTTATCGGTTCTTGTCATGTTGCTGTCTCGAAACGTTTTTCTCGTAGTATCAATCTTGCAGTTTATTGTTGGCCTTCGATCGATCGAACAGATCGAGAGAGATTGGGGCCGGAGTGAAACGAGCATTTTTCAAGCTGAAACGAACAATTCTATGGTGGCCGAGAACTGCCATTAAAAATATTGAAATTTGTAGGAATTATTTTTGTTATTTTATTTTTAATTTTATCTATTTTTTTCTTTTTTAAAATAAAAGCAAATGAAAGCAAAATGTAAAATAGAAATAAAATGAAACCAAAGATAAATGAAATCAAATCAAAATTAAATTTACTTCCTAGCCGAGCGCTGCCACTAGTGTTTTTTTTTTTGGTCCGAAAAAAACATTTTTTCGTGGCCGAACGCTGCACATTGCCAAGAGCTGCCAAACAAACCCAGAGTGCTTTGCGGGATCCACGTCCAACATGGCGGATGTTTGGCGGGAGGATTTGAAGCTAAGAGAAGATGTGGAAAGACAGGGATATGAAAGGGAAGAAGCCCTAGATTTCTTAAAGCGGGATTTTCCGATGAATGCCTGGAGCATTCGTTCGTTAGACAGACGTTTGCGATATTACAATAATCCAAAAGTTTCCGTGGAAGAAGTCAAAGATGCAGTGAAGGAGGAGTTGGAAGGTCCTGGAAGACTTGTTGGGTATCGTACGCGTGCTATGTACAAGAAAGTAAGGCATGAATACAATCTCCACGTCACTCGCTATGCTGTGTATAATGTCATGTACGATCTTGACCCAGAAGGCTTAATACCGGGTACCTTCATATCCGGTATCTGCTCCAAGGTCTTGCAAGGAGGACCCTGCTCTCCTGCGAGAATATCGCAGACCAGAGAAGTACCGACTTACGTAGCAAAATGTCTTTCATAACAACGTTTAATGTTCTCGATTGTTCGTTCATCTTCGGTGAATGGCACAAATTCTCTCGGCCCAATTCTGGCGTACTTTTGGGCTTTTCCTGATACCTCTGAAGATAATCGTTGAACTGTTAGTTCGTTTCCTTTAAGTAATTTATGCGATGTATCTCCAGCATCACACTTCTTCCCTCTTTTCGCAGTCACTTTATCTTTAAACTTTTTCCACGTGGCGTTCGCCATATTGGAATCCCGCATAGCATTCTGGGTTTGTTTGGCAGCCCTNAAAAAAAAAAAAAAAAACGTTAGTGGCAGTGCTCGGCTGGGTAATAAATTTAATTTTGATTTGATTTCATTTATCTTTGGTTTCATTTTATTTCTATTTTACATTTTGCGTTTACTTGCTTAAGATGATAAATAAATAGAAATTGAAAATATAATAAGAAAAATAATTCCTACAAATTTGAATATTTTTAATAGCAGTTCTCGGCCACCACATTATTAAAAGTGGCATTATCTTCCTCTGGTAATTTGTAAATACATTTCAATTCTATTGCAAAAAGTATTTTGGACGTTGGCGATCTGACATTAGACGTTGGCGAATCGACTTCATACGTTGGCGAACTGGTCGTTGGCGAACTGACACGTTGGCGAAACGACCGGCAATAAAGTGGTTGTTTTAAGTAAGAATTTTTGCCTACCAGCTGTTACCATGTTTGGTTTCAGCAGTGTGCCTTCGAGGTAGATATGGTGGTCGACTAAGGCCTTGTAAGTGACAGACAGGACTGCTTCCGTGACTGTTTGGCATCGCTCTAAGGAATGATCACCATCGCGTAATATTTCAGGCTCGACGATTGGAACAAGACCATTCTGTTGGCAAATGCTTGCATAGCGAGCGAGTACA